GGTGAAAAGAGGACTTGGCTGACTTTCTGTAAAATCAGTAGTTTTGGTAATCTTTATTCAAGAAGCACAAATTAATCACCATTTTTAATAAATCTGAAGTAGATGAAACTCAAGGCTGTTGGAACTAAGAAATGTTTTTTTTTTTTGTTTTTTGTTTTTTTCCTGTTTACTGTTATGCTACTCTCTTGGTGGACTGATGAAGCATTGCTATTGCATTGTAGTGAGACTGTAGTTATCTGAGAAACTAATGTGGGATAATGATTAGCATAGTATAAACTCTCGATGAATAGATAGTGCCTAGTTACTGGCAAAGTGTTACACCAAAGTAAATAGGTTGATGATCCATACACTCCATTCTTATATCTATAAGAGAAAAGCTGCAGTGTAGTGTGTAGTTGTAGTAGTATACGTTATGACTAATAGTAGTGAACACACCGGCTCGGACTATGTACACTGATGACAACAAAGAGAGGAAAATGAGTTTCTGAAAGAGGAATGATTCCTTTAAATGTTTGTGTGTTACACTACTTGAAGTTTGGCAAAAAGAATGGGGGTGAGATGGGGCTGGGGACAAATGCCTCACAAAATTATCAGCCACAAAAAGAGGCCATTTTTAGGTTGATATTTCATCTTTAATATTTTTTGAGCTAGTTGAGTGAAAAAAAATATGGAAGGGCAGCTTTTATAAGTGGGAAGAGAAGCTTCCTGTTATTTCAAGGGAGCATTACATCTTATATATATATATATATATATATATATATATATATATATATGCAGAGGGAGCAAGTTGAACTCTTGAAAAAGAATGGAACACTGCCAATTGCTGTTAGAGAGAGAAAGCAAAATATGTGCTACACAGAGCACTTAGGAGATGGCTAGCAAGAAATCAGTTAGTTTATGTATTTGAGGCCAGAAATTTACCCCGTAACCAGGCAAACGAGAGGAATAATGAAATGCCAAATCAATGCCGAGTATGTGATCCACTAAAAAAAAAAAAAAAAAAAAGGTACGGAAATAGTGATAACACAAAATCACTCCCGCTGCATCTTTTATATGAACCCTGACATTTGTCTTTTTGTTTGTTTTTATTTTATTGTGTAAGTATTAAATTGGCCGTAAGTTTGGGGAGGATACAGCAAATAGTAATGCTATGTTTAAGTCCACTTCTTCTTCAGTGGGGCAATAGTAAATTTATACATACATATAATGTATACACATAATTTCACTGTTTCTTCAGAAATACTCCAGTCTATTGATTTAGCAAATGGTATGAATGGGAAAATAGTGTGTTCATTAAAGTAAGTCTTTATTTGAATTGCAGCCCTAAAGAGCACATCTGATATTTGATTAGATAATAAAGGGCTTTATGTTTGTCTATATACACTTTTTGACATTATCTTGTCATTGCCTTCTTTAAACTTGGCTGTCAAAACAAATGGACACAGCCAGTGGAGTTAAGAGCCCTGCCACGAGAGGGCAAGGGGATGGGTAAGGGTTACACCAGTGAATACTGTGAAGTGGAATTCGTATCACCAATTGTGCAGTAGTAGTAGTATTAAGGGTCACCATTGATTATTACAATCTGAGCAGAAATGGTTGGCTAGGACCATTTAAATTTTTCTTTTGTGATATACAGGCCATGCTGGCACAGGTGTGACAGAACTTCCAATTATTATAGGCCAAAAGAGATCACTTGTTGAAACACAAGATAAATGATAAAAAGATCAACCCATGCACTGAAAACTGAAAGGCATATACTGTTGCAAGGATTTCTGCATGTGAAGTGAGATGCAAATCAACACCACCAAGAGCAACTTGTCTTCAGAGAAGCACCAACGACTGCCAGGATTCATTATATAGTTTCAGAAAGAGTTGAGGAAATAATAAATCTTACATTGCTCTGAGATACTTAAAAATTAGAGCAAAGATCAAATAGGAAATAAAATCAATGTTAAGAAGCGTCGTGTCCAAGCAAACAAGTCAACACAGACCATCATCATCATCAACAATAATAATAGTAGTAATAATAATACAACATCATTTACATAAGGCTGGTTATGATGGAAGGAAGTCCTGCTGATGACTGATGTAGACAAATGTAAGCTTGGTCAGCAGAAACAGTTTTGCTATTGGGAATAGTTACAGCAGAACCACTGTAAGTAAAGTAAAACCTATTAGATGCATTTGTACAGGAGATAGCAAAGTTTAAATTATTTTAAAAAATATTGATGAAGCAAGCAGGAAGAACCGAATGTACATTGAAACAAAGTTTAAGAGTTGCTCAAGAGCAGGTAAATTCTGAAACTTTATAATTTTCTTGGCAATTCAGATTTCATAATACACTACTTTGAATATACATCATCATCTTATTCTATTATAAAACATACACCTGATCGCCTACTGACAGAGTTAAGCCTTTTGATTTGATGCAGTGAAAATGTGAAGTATAAACCATGTTTTCAAGTAGATCAAACTAAAAACTAAATAACTGCCACTATTCATTAACTTGCAGAGTTGACAATGATTTTAACAGCTTATTTACGGTTGCTATTGCCTGTGTTGTAATAATAGGCAAGTGGTATGCTTACTCACCTAATCTTTCCTAGCAACCATTGTGACATGCCAGTGATGAGACATTTTTGTCAAGATATCTGGTGAAAGCGAGGAAAAATGGTTTCATGCCTTCTATCAAGGGCAATAGGACTAAGTGAACATAAGCAATCTTGGCCAAAATCTGAACTTGATTAGCCAATTTCATTTCCCAGGTTGACAATGACAGTGTAAAGTCTCAAACAGGACACGTCTTACAGTTGTTCTTGTCTCAGTCCCCTGTGAAGGAATCGGGACATCATTACAAGATGGGTTCAATTAAGCAACATGACATGTCAACAGCCAGAGGCAGGAAGAGATGAGGGTCATAATAAAAAAGAAAACAACCTATAACAGAATTTAAAGTAGGCATTTTGTTACTTTGTAGCATAAGCCAAATGGCACAGGCAAAAGAATGAACCTGAGGGTAATATCTAAAAGATGTTAGTGGTGAGGAAAGGCATGAAGATTATTATTAATAATAATAATTAACTTCCTCACATCTTTATTTTTACTAACAAAGCTACAGCTGTGTGACTGAAATGATTTCAGAGGGTATGAAATGCTGTTAATTTTGAATGTAAAATGGTTTGAGGATTTCCTAATTTAGTTGCCAGATGATGAACACAATACACACACTCCACAAGTGAAACACATTAATTAGCAACAGATTTGTACAGTGAATGGGAGAAGTTCCTATGGGAAAGAAGGAAAGAAAACAAATGCAATCAGCATTTCTAAATATCTCTTCCATCCCAAACCAAGCATGTAAGACACTCACTTGCAATCAAGTGTCTCACATTTGACTGGTTTCCTAATATATTTTGAATCTGTGGTCAAAGGAGGGAGGCAACAGTTAATAGTCAACTTCATCTGTCTTCAGTAAATCCACCAGATATTGATTAGAATTAAACAGATCAGAATCTCGTAGAGTTGGAGGTATTGCGAGGAAGAGAACAAGAAAATGAATAAATAAAATGAAATTAAATAAATATGTCTTCTTTTTTTTTTTCCTTGTTGCTAAAAGTAAATAATACCCAGGAATTAAAATATGGAAATCTGCTAGCAGCAACTGATGACAATGTTTGAGTTGCTGTAATAGATAACCCTGCCACTGTATGAGCAAGGAGACTCTCTGGCACAATACAGTAGGGAGTGTTCATGTGCAGAGTTGACAGTAGGCAATGGTTGACCACAGATAATGCAGGCCAGCACAATCCAACCATTAACAATATCTTGGGAACATTATATTTTGGTTTTCTTGAGAATAGCAATTGCCACCATACTGAAAAACACCTTTCACCAAATCAGGAACCCATTTTCAATATTAACTTTTTTTTTTTTTTTTTTTTTTTTTTTTAATTTTTTTTATCCATTATATCATCACTCCAAAAAGGGGAAATGTACAAATAAAAAGTTTAAAATAAAAATATTTCTTTTAATTCTGATAAAACAAGGTGTTTTTTTTGTTTTTTTTTATTTGAATGATCCCACCCTCCCAGATAAAGTCAATTATCTCATTTAACTAAATAAATAAAAATTATTTTAGAATACTGCAAAGAACAACCTTGTTTACCCACCCATTCCCAGCTTCATTTAGTAGGAACTGAATGCTAAGGTTGGGTCGAAACAGGCTAACAGATTTTGGTCTGTGAATGCGATGCATAGGTAGCAAATGATAATGAAAGCTGGACTCTTGGAGGTTGACCAAAACGATATAATGAATAAAACTTGATGTTCTGGAAAGATGAACATTCAGACACACTAACAAGTTTCTCCCTGAAAAGATGCACAAAACCATTTTCTCCAATTAGTCAATTGTGTATATGGGTAAGTTTCCATTCCATCATGGTGGTTGTAGCAGTCTAGGGTGCTGACGGTTGGTTGGTTGTTTGTAGTGGTCTTTCTTCATTGACAGCAGCAACATGTAGCTCCCTCCAGTATCCAACAATATCACAAAAGTGATGATATACTGCAGATGAAAGGAGCAACTCTAATCATCACAAGAGAAATTATGAAAGGCACAGGCAGAAGAGTGACTGGCACTGATTGATGGTGGTGGTGTGTTGTCACATGGCATCAGTTGGAGGAGGAGGAGTCCACAACCTTGAGTAATGATTTTGCTAGGCTCAAGAACAAGGCAGTCACAGCCTGTCGATAGTGGTCAAAATAATGGTTTCACTAATTTGATATTGTGGTATTATTGGTCAGACTTAGTAAGTCACACACACCACAATTCAAGACAGACAATAGTTGAAGGATGGCTTGCTCATTTGGTAATCCAGTATTAGTAGTTGCAACAATAGTACAATAGTCCTTGTTGTAAGTGTAGTAATTGTTGTTCCCCTTGGCTGGCCAGCAGTGGAAAGTTAAAGAATCCCCCTCCCCTTGGAGACTGTTGCATTTCTCATTTAATGAGGCAGGTGGCCAGCTGCTCCATATCGTTCACGTTCCATGGCTAACTGACGTTGCATAGCTTCTTGGTGAGCTGCCTGTGCCGAGATCTTAAAAAAATAAAAATAAATACATTTTGCTACTTTCAAACATTCTTTTAAAAAATCCACTCATTTCAAGTTATTTCCAATTACTATTATTTTCAATATTTGAAAAACAATACACACAGATTTGGTTCATCTAAGAAAAAAAATCTGAAAAATTAAAAAATAAAAATTTAAATTAAATTTAAAATTATTTTTCCAAGACTAATTCATATTACTTAAATTATTTCTTATTTTTTAAGTTTACAACTTTCTTCAGAAGTACAATCTATAAGGAGGTGGATGAGAGTGTCTGCCATCCCAGAAAGTAACTAATTGTTTTTCATTATTATTTGCTTTTCTCAAATACTTATAGGAAATTCTCATATTTTGATAAACCAGCTTAATAAGGTACAAATAAAAATAAACAATGAGCTTTTGTATAATTTGATGTTTACTGATAAGAAATGATGCAGTCTTATATATGAAGGATCCCAATATATTAAACTGAAATATGAAAATATTCAGTTAAAGCAAGTGCCATAGCAACAGGATTCTTTTAAAACCTTGTGCATCTTAATTATTCTTAATAGCATGAATATAATATAAGTACAGAGCAATTCATCTAATTGCTTAATGAGTTCAGATATGTTTTTAAATCCTGCAGCTATTTCACAATTTCTTTAACTGACAAATGAATATCCATTGCAACATAAATGCCATTTCTCTTTTAGTAAAAAATGCCAAGAATCTTTAGTGAAGGAAATGAACTGAAACAAAAATAGAAGAAATCAACATTTTACACCATTTATCATTATTTTTTAAATATAAATTATTGATTAATGGTTAACAAGTCAAAGAACTGAAAATATACTGGGGATATTTTCAAGCACAGTGTATAAGACTGGCAAAGAAATCAATTTATATTTATAATTATTCATGTATAATATGCATCCCTAAATATGTCAAGCCCATGGTAAAAATAAACTCACATTTGGAGAAACAAAACTATAAACAAACACACATCCAACAGCTACTGGCTATTTCTCTAGTGGCATAAAACAGAAGCAGATATTATTACCATGTCTGTGTGTGACATAGAAAAGAACTGCAAAATAGTTTCTACCATTTACTGTCATTGGCAGTCAGCCATGACTGTGCTCATAATTTCCTCCACTAAACTTAGTCAGGTGCTGTGTATATTGCAAAACAAATTGCCTAGAAATGAATGATTATGGGGTCTAAGTACAGAAAAATTGAAGGCAGTCTTATATGCAGAGGAAAATTGGAACCAGGCAGAACAATTCCAAACTTAAATTCATGCTGAAGTCAAAGAAAGCAGACAGAGGGGGAAATCAGCAGAATTTCCAAAGCTGGAAAACTGGCTGATTGAGTGGGTGAAGGAATTCAGAATGACCACTAGTGGAATTAGTACCAAGTGCATGAAGAAGTTGGCAACAATGCTTGACAATGCATTGTCTACACTTTATCATGAGACAATTTATTAGTTCACCACCCGACTCAGCTGGGCACAGTGAAGCAGATTTAAATATGCTTAATATCTATAAGATTACATTCTTTTTCTTCAAAAACAAATACAGTGTTTGGTTAATGAATTAAATTATTACATATTAATTAGTCTTGACCATAGATATAACTTACTTATGGTCATGGTGTCTTGAATATGGTAAGGCACATGGCCACAAAAACGTTAATCCTTAACTCTTATGTATAATATATATTCTTAACTTTTAGGCTTATAAATCTGGGAAAAAAAAGTGTGTATGATACATGAATAATTGTAATAACATTTTAAACACTGGAGATTGTTTTTATTTTGGGCAAATTTATCTTCTTGGTTTACTGATTGGTTTTATACTTTAAAAAGGTGAAAATTTTAAATGCTGATTTTCAAAGTATATAATTTTTTCTGACTTGAATTAGTAATGAAACACTAATTTCAATATTTTTGTAGAAATTTTACCAAACTGTATATACAAAAGTCCAAAAATAGGCTCTAAATTGCTGACTTACCTGATGTGCTAAGGCTTGATCACCATATGCCCTGATCAAATCAGGGTGGAGATACTCCCGATCTCGATTAGCCAATAGAGGGTGGGAGGGATACGAATGTGGCAATCCTGTTAAATGGTGACCACTAGGATTTGTTGAACCTGGAGTTACTCCAGACATCGGATCAGCTCCTAAAGAACAAATCAAATCATTGAGATATTTTACAAGGCAGGTTTCAAGAAAAGAAAAACAACACATATGCAAAGTGATCTTGTTTTATGCTTGCAAGATAATATTTTAGTTAGAAAAGCTAAAAATATTAACATGTATGCTATTAAGTAAAAACATAGCAATACTATTTTAATAAAAACCTTTTGCTTGTTTAATAAAAAGAAAAAGAAGAAAGCCCTCTGACAATGTGCAGAGAATCATCTATGGGAGGGGAACCTTTTGAGTGATTTAATATTAAACCAATAATGACACATTGAACAAACAGTAGTAACTTTTTATGTCAAAAGCTAAAATATCAGGATAGATTTCATATAGATATTTAAAAAAATATTCAACTTATGTAGAAAAGTAAACAAGTTTAAACAGTATAAATTAAAAGTAGTAACTAATCTTAACAGTTCACTACACTAAGTTCTGTTTTAAATTCAGAACTTAGAAATGAAAGACAGATGCAGGGTTAGTCAAAAATCTTACTAACCAAACCTGTAAAAGTAGATTAAAATTAATGGAATCTAAACTGAATGAATGTTGAGGGTAAGAAAGTTTGGGAGTCAGTTTGATCTTGCTTTAATGCAAAAGAGTTGATTCCACAAATTCAAAAATCAATTTAAATTATTAAATTCAGAAAAGTTTGATAATAATTTAGAGGAAAAAAAAAAAAAAAAAAAAAAAAATAGAGAGAAAGAAATAGAAAACAAAAGTTGAAAAACCTTTTCAACTTTAGAAGACAACATAACATGCATTTAGACTCTCAAAGCCTGGTTTGGTATTAAATGAAAAACAGTGGAACAAAAATGTCCCATTTTTTATATTGAGAATTTTTCCTTTTATAGAAAAGTTAATTATTTTCTTGTGATCAATACAAAACATTTGACAAATATGAAAAGGTGTTGAAAATAATTGGTTGTAAAATTATGTAAAAAGTCTATTTTCTCTGCAAGAAAGATCTTTTCAATTTTGCCTCCCCAAATCTGACACAATTTCAGCTGAAGAATTTTTTTATATTTCCATCAAAAATCAAATAAAATTATATAAAGTTCATAACAATAAATATAGAACTAAGCTGGGAGGCAAAATAAAGAACTTGTGCCACCTAATATCAGTTTAATAGAAAAATACAGACTGATGATTTGGAAATAAATCCAATGAACTTTGAGCAAGCAAAATGAAGATCAAAATAAAAATACATAAATATGTACAAAAAAGAATTTAAAATAATTGCATGGAAAAAATGGAATGTACTATTTATATTCCTAATAGAATTTAAGTAGCATTAGTCAAAAATAGATTTTTTTTTTTAACATCTCTTTTTGGGATCAAGATTTCTGCACAATCATCTGAGGCAGAGTCTAAGCCTGAACAATTATGAGAAAAAAAAATTAAGAAAAAAAAAAGGTAAATTTAGGGAAATATTTAAGAGTTAAAAAGATGGCAAAATAAAGAAAAATGAATTATAAAAATTTTCAAAAATCATTTATTAAATAATTTATTTAAAGAAAATTTTTGTGGTGCCAACCACAACCACCTGCAGCTTTTAAAGAATCTTTCAAACAAACATTCAATCACTAAACATATGAAAATCCTCAATACTGAAAACCTTTTCAAGTGAATTAAAATACTGCAATATTGCAACATGCACAAAGATGCATGATGTAATAAACAGTATTCCAAATGTTAGTCTTCCCCCAGTTTTATGCTTAATTATTGGATTCTATACAAATTATTTTAGTATAAGTAGACTTATCTAATCAGCACTGTTGTTGAATTGTAATAACATTTAACCAAATTAGTTGGTTACCTAATAATATTTAGTTGATTGTATGCCAGTAAATATATGTAAGCTCGAGAAATATTGTCCCAGGGAAGCATATTATTAATTATAAAGTTGAATAGTTTAGAAGGGAATTGGGAACAGACATGCTGTTCAGAAAAGTAATTTAATATAAAGTTCTTTCAGAGAACAAAGAAACACAAGGAGCATGGCAACCATTTCAATGGCTTAAAATATTATCCAAATAAATTAGGGACAATAACTTTATATTTATTTTGAAACAAACAAAAAATATATACAAAAACAAAAAACAAAAAGCCCAAATAAAAATATATAAAAACGTTTAATGTATCTGGTTGCTAAATACAAACTTATGTCAGGACTAACATTTAAAGATCTGAATATCAGAGCATTGTGTCAAGGATTTCACAGGAAGTTAGTGAGGCGGAAAGTGTGCACCACCAACAACCAGTGTGGCCTGCAATTATAGACGGATGATTCAAGTTGGAATCAAACAATGAGTGTTGATATTTGTATTTGTGTGTTAGAAGAGAGAGCATGTTAGCTAAGTTGGTAATTCACTCACAATTTTATGGTGCCAGCATTTATTTATTTTCATTTGCAAAAAATATTACAAATTCACATTTGAGACAGCAAGAATTTGGTAATCTTTTTAGAAAATTAAAAAAAAAAAACGAAAAAAAAACTATCCTTGAACTTTTAGCTGTCTCGTTCTTAAATAAATCATGAACCATTTTAAAAACTGACCTTCAAACTGAATGAGGTATTTGAGGAAAAATTGTAAAGCTAAATTTTTCAAAGAAATTAACAAAAAAAAAAAAAAAAAAAAAAGGAAAGAAAATATGGGGATGGAAGAAAGATTTTGTGCCACCCAAATACCAATTTCTTTTAAAATCAAAGCTAAGTTACGTATAAAAAAAATAAGTTTAGCAGGATTTTCAGAAATTTTTTTTTAAAGTTTAAGAGTAAATTAAACAGAAACAAGCAACTGCATAAAACTACACAAATTGAAGATAAAACAAAAAAAAAAATATAGAATTGAAATAAAAAAATAAACTCAACCATTCAATAAGATTTCAACCTAAACCCTTAATTAGCCATTCAGCAAAAAAGCATTTTAAATATTTAAACATCTTTTTAATCTTGTGAAATGTGCATGTGTGAAAGAAATTTCAAATCTACTCCAAAATAGATACTCAGCACTACATAAACACAACTAATCCAGAACAGACTCCGAAAGTAAATTACTGCAGTGATTCTAATCGTTTCCCAATCTCATTATTTTAGAAGCACAATATTATTTTGAGCATGTGATATTCAAATGTTACCAAGGGGATGACAAAACCAATATATTCAGTTTTTTTCTAATTTGCAAAATGTATTTTCTTTTCAAAATCAGATTAATATGCCCATTTTGCAGCATTAAAAAAAAATTAAGAGGAGAAACTGTTTACTCCCAAAGAATTTGAATACATATAGTCTAGTAAGAGATAGATAAGTACATACAACAGACAACACAAAAGACAACCTAAGTCTACATAAAAACAATAGCAAAAGACACAGAGCCAGTAGTGCACTAGTAACACCAACAGACATCACAGGCAAACAGCAGTAGCAAGATAGTGTAGCATATAGCTAGTAAGATATTGAGTGGAAAAAAAAAAGAAAAAGAAAAAAAAGCTTTTTCATTCAGGAAATCTTCCATGTTGAATGAAATTAAAACACATCTACAGGGCCATTCATATATACATACATCATATGAATATTAAATAAAGAGGGTTAAACTAAATATATTATTAAATTAAGAGAATTTTGTTAAGTGGAATTTTAATCTGTTTAAGCTAAATTGTAAAAAGGATTTTTTTTCAACTTTTTATTTAAAAAGAAACTAAGATTTTATCATAAAAAAAATCATCTACATGGTGTGCACAGTATTCTAGAACACATCTTTAAAAAGTGATAAATACAAGAGAACTTAACCAAAGAACATGTGACATGTTAATACTCATTTCTCTTTCAGATATATTGAAAGAATTTACATGATAGCTTTTAATCTAACATAGGAAATGAAAAGGCACACCATTCTCATGACACTAGATACCAACTACAGCAACTTTAAGACTGACAGTTTCTTGGAGAGAGGGAGAAATTAACCAAATGAACAGGAGAAATGAGAGGTGGCTCTTTGTGCAGAACCCACGAAGGTATTAACAGTAATGTGTATTTAGTTCACATTGTCTGTAGTGGTACTAGGGGCTCATGAGCAATGAGGGTCATGTTCTGGTGTCTCACTTCTTCCTGCAGAGCCTCAGGATCAATGTCAGTGTCACTGCTGGAGACAGTAGTCAAGCCCTGGAATGAAAGGTGGCCATACATATTGCAGTAGAACTCTGCTAAAGGGATGAATGTTTCATAAAATTTTTTACAATCATGTTATCCTCAATGTGTGGCCTCCTAGTTCCAATTTGAATCAACGGGACTATTATGTTTGGGTCACTATTGAGAAAGAGACCAACCAATAGTTTCACAATAGTAAAGACTCTTTATAAGGCTACCATTGTGGACATAATGGCTACCATGAATGAGAACCACCTGATCCAGTTATGCAGTCCATCACTAAGGCTGAGGTCAATTTTATTTAATGATCTTTTTCTAAGTATAACATGTACTCTGATTGCTCTAGTTATTATATTTGTTTATATTATGTTCTCAGTTATCTGGCATATTCTACATTAGGGAAGAAATCTATCATTTTTCTCTCTAATTACAGAGGAATCTTTCTTACTTCAGTTTTGATGAGAAAGTTGATTTCATCCTAATTTAAAACAATACAATAGAAATGTAACAATACAATAACAAGCATTTATGAGACCATTTAAGACTTAATATCTATTAATATTGTGAATTTCTTGAATTGATTATAGTTGCACCAAGACAAAAAAATTCTATCAGTCTGAGTTACTTAAAAAAATAAATTGTAAAACCAAATAAGAAAATCCTTTTTCAGATTAATTTTAATGTTCACTTTAATCAAATTATTTTAACAAATAGAAAACTTTTATTGTTACTTTAACTCTACTTACAGTAATATATAAATCATTGGAGTAACCATTTTTTTTTTTCATTAAAATAAAATAAGGAATTTCCCTTTAAATTTTTATGAACTTGGCATGATAGATCCATGAAATAGAAATTATAGTTATAAAAAGAAAAAAAAAAAAAAAAAAAAAAAAAAAAAAAAGAAAGAAAAAAAGGAAATATAGGAAAAAAGAAAAAAATTAAAAGAAATCCTTTCTGATTTCAGAGGAAATAAACCCTTGAAAGTGAAAAATATAAAAAATTGTCTTAAACCAACAGAAACCTTAAGACAGATAACCCACAATCAATACTGAAATTCTGAAAGATTAAATATATAGAAGTCTACAAAATCTCACTGAGTAAGCAGCAATTAGTCCTGCAAATGAGCTGAAGAATTAGGATTTAAATTAGGACATCAAAGGCGAGTATCATTCTACAAATGCTACTATCCAGAGCAACTAGCATGTGTTACAAAATAGAGTGAATTTTTGCTGCAAAAGTTTTTTTTGATTTGTAAGAATTTTTGTTTTTAAGTTTTAGATTATAGTTTGAACATTTCATTACAAAATAAGATAGATTCGTACATCAGAAAAAGCAACAATAAAATTTATAAGGATAAAATTACAAATTAACAAAGTGTTTATTTAAATTTTCATAGCAAACAGGGAAATGTCTATTTTTTTTTATTTTTATTTTTTTTTTAGTTATTAAATAGCATTTTTAAAAATTTATGGATGACAGTAAAATAAAAACAGTTCTGGAGAAAAATGCTTCAAAGTTCCCCAAACCCATTTTTTTTAATTTATGAAGGTAAAATAAATTATCAGTGTCCAAAAATAACCTGGTGTCACCAAGTGCTGAAACTTGTTGAGAAATTAAAACCTGCTAATTTGAAATACGTTTAGTATCATGAACAAATTTCTATATAGCTAATTGTTTGAGAAGAGAAAACAAGGGTCCTTTTTGTTTCCCACTAGATAATAAACAATCCTAAAACTAAGAGAGAATACAGAACTCATTCTTCTCATATATATATATATACCACAACTCAGGCTTTGAAGGTCAGCTGAAAAACAGCAGTAACCTTTGGTACAGTACAAAGCAATACCAGGATATATATATATATATATACATATATATATAGATATATTATATACATATATATATATATATATATACACATATATATAATCTACAATAATGAACTTACGAGAAAATTGATACACCAAATGTGAGGGATCTACCAAACTTCTATCATGCTTTGAACGTAGGTAACACTCGTTAGTTACTCTTTGCAAGTAGATGTGTTGCTCATTTGTGAGTCGTTGAGAGTATATTTCATAAATCATTCGTCCTGTCATGTGATCGCTATGAAGAATATCTGTAACGACAATTTGAAAGTGCAGATTAATAGGAGCGGGCCACTGCAGGTGGTGGTGGGCCACCCAGCATGGTGGCTAGCTTACCTTGGCAGATTGCTTGGAACAAGTGCTGCGATGCAGAGTTAGCAGCTGCATATGGATGGACTGGCGTTGCTAAGGGGTCCTGCTGATGGACGTGCAGATGAGTGTGAGCATGGGCATGAGTGTGGGTATGAGCATGGGTGGATGCTGCCGATGTGGCTGCTGAGGCTGAAAGGCTGGCCATCTGTAAGCGAACCATTGGATCTGTACTGAGGGCAAGTCGCTCGGCTTGCAGCCGCTCGGCAGACATCCGGTCCATGGCTGCTGCTGCTGTCACATAGCCCTGCTCACCCAGCAAATGAGAGATACCAGTCGGAAAACCTAGATAAACATGCTGAGTCAATAATTGCATACACAACTTCCAACTTAGGAAATGACATGATAAAGATAAAGATGACATGCAGGCTCACAGCCAGAGTCTGACTCTTCATTGTTTGAGAGAGAAAATACAGAATACATACATGGGTGACAAAAGCAATGGAAATGAAGACAGTTTGTATTAAATTGATTAAATGGCTTACTTGTATATTTTTTAAATAATTACTGCAGTTAAAATACATGACTAAATTTTGCCATTCTATAATTGTTGTCATTTTATTATTTTCAATAAGTAATGAAAAATTCAAATGCTTATTGGGACAAAATACTGCAACGTCATGCTATCCAGATTAAATATAAGCAAAATGGATGCATTCATTTGATATGGGAAAGTAGCAATAAAGCATTTTAATTATTGCTGTTGAATTTTGTCATATCTAATTGTGCAATCACATAAATAAAGCCTATTGAAATAAATGGAAGTCTCAAAGCTGATTTAAATCATTTGCTAATATAATCATTTTGCAGGAGGGCAGTGGATTATGGAGAATAGTTGTTGGCATGAAAATTCTCTTTATAACAAAGATGAAGACATTAGTCCAAATGTAAATACATCCTCATCAAAGAGATTCAGAGGGAACATTTTCTTGCCAAAGCAGTTTAACATTTATACAAGGAAAAGCAAATGAATAGTTCTTTGTTTACTAATGACATTTGGCTTTAAATAGCAAGCCAATGAATACAACTATTGAAATTTAATATAAACATAAAACAAGCTTTTATCTGCAATGTTACTCTTGACAGCAAAAGTAGTGTAAATTGTATTAAGTTTTTCTTTCACTATATTATGAGGGAATGCTGAAATTTTTTTTAGTCCAACCAAGAAGCTGTAAATTAAAAAAAAACAAAAAAACAATGATTTTTAGTCATTTGCTGAAGGTCTGGTTCAAAAGTGGGTTGGGCCAAAAACTTTCCACTACCCTCTCATATTGATAAATACTGTAAAGAAATATTTTTAAACAATTATTTTATAAAGATAAAATATCATAGGTGTTTTTTATTTAAAAAGCAATTCTCATAACCAAAATTCAATGACAAATGATTATTTGTATATTTATTACTGAAGCAAGTCATTTTTTTAAAAAATACAAGCAAATACAAATATTTATGAAAAACTATAGATATACAAATGCTAATATAAGCTTTATTTAGAAAGTAATATACAGGGTGCAGCAGAAATACCCCTCACATAATGGTAAGACATTAACTAGATCAGTGTTTTTAAGCAATGGTATGCCTAGGAGCAAATGAAAATAGCACAGAACACTTAACAAAATTTTTAAAGGGTATACATTTAAATGTTCTGAAATAAAACCATAGATTTAAAAAAACAAAAAAAACAAAACACACACACAAATATGAACTTACTTTATTTCAATGTTTCTATTCAACTAAATGTGCAGTTTATTTAGTGTGAAATCTGTGCCTGGTGTTTTTTCATGATTTCTACAGTGTTTGGTTGAATGTGTGATAAGCAGACCCCCATTTCTTCTTCAGTTGAGTGTAGTCTTTCTCACTTCTTATTTTTGATCTTATTTAGGGTTGAGAAACCTAATTCACATAAATAAGAAGTAGAAAATTGCAATAAAACTGATAAAGCCTTTTTAGCTAATGTGGGATATTCCCTTTGTATTGAAATCCAAAATGTATCAATGGGTACCATCAAATGGTTTATTTTGAGCACTCGATCACAAGAAATGGTGGTCAATTCTTCTTTACATAACTGAAGTTCAATATTAGAATTTTGAATCCAATCATACTTTTCTGTGCTCAATGATGGAAAATAATAGTCAATGTTTTCATCAAGCACTTTCAGATTGGTAAACCAATTACTCTTACTATTATTGAATAACCAAAAATAAGGATCATTTCTTCTTTAATGCAGGTAGTATGTATTGAAGGAAACATCAAAATTATCCAGACTGGCTTTATTTTTCCAAATCACGATTTTCTTTTTGAGGGTAACCAACTTATCTGTTGAAGTAAGATTATTTTCGTCTTTACCTTGCATTCTACTGTTTGTATTTAGTTGACTAAATATTTTGTAGCACACTTAAGATGAAGACACCGTTGCAACTAATGTCTTACCATTATATGGGTAGTATTTCTGCCACACCCTGTACTTGTCATCATCCCTATGTTCAATGAAAGGAATAGATGACAAAAGAAGGTTTCTCTCCTGAAGAGTAAAAGAAAATTTTTTAAAAAATGCAATAACAGAAAATTCTGACTTACCTAACCGTTCCAAACGTTCTCTTTCTCTCGCCAAAAGGTCATTGGCTAAACTACTGGGTGGATATACCCCAGGTATATGTGGTGCATTGCTACTAGAGCTGTTACCTGCAGACTGCTGGACTAGTGGACCAGCAGTTGCAGTGGGAGGGTAACTAAAACGTCTCATGTCGAGCCAATGAGGGGCATCCAAAGTGTTTCCGCCTAAGGAAATTAGAGGGGCAAAGGCTAATTTAATAAACAGTAAAGTAACAGTAGTGAATCTCTTACAAACTTCATGTATATAAAATCATTTAATTTTAAAAATAAGTTTTCTGTACTTTTACAATATTTTCATCATGTAACAGAATATGAGAACAGGAGAATAATGATAATTAAATCAGAAAGAAAAATTCACATAACATTTTAAAAATTAATAATTTCTAATTTATCAAAACATGAAAGAAAGAAACAAAATAAATGCTTTCAGAAGGAGAGAGAGCAAGTTAGAGAAAAAGAGATCATTTAACAAAAATCAATAAAATTTGAAGATCTGCTAAAGAATATTTTTGTACTAATTTAAGTGACTTTCATATGGCTGTTGATAGTAAATTTTTCTCTCAGTTTTGTTTTTCAACTGCAGAATGTATTTTAATATTCATTTTTTTTTTTGTTTTAATTTACACTGGATATAAATAAATAATTTTCTGAATATAATAATATTTACAGACCTGACTGATTTTAATTTTTAAAATTAATCAAATGATAGTCATTAAAATTTCAGTTTTAATTATGAAGTTAAGATTGGTTCATTTTTGTGTACATTTCCAACAATAGCTTTTAAGTTAAAAAGAAATTCATTTTTATACCTATAAATTTAATCTTACTGGAGAACAAAATGAATAATCTTTATGTTAATAACATTTATTTTATAATACAATTAATTTACATCTTATAGTTCATATTTTTTTGTCTGACACAAAAAAAACTAATCAGAATGATGATACAAAAATAAAGTCTCATTATTGCTTAGTATTTGTCAACAGTTAAAACTTAAGTATTGTAAATTCTGATGTACTCCTGAAATGATTATACATAGGCAAACATAAATAAAACTTATGGAAATGTAAATATCAATTATTTTACTTTGTAAAAATACAAAAATTGCAGATACACACAACATATTAAAAAAAAGATGTTACAAATATGTAATAAAATGCTTGGAATTTTAAACATTTGAATGCTTTTTAAGAACAAGTGTGTTGTAATAGTTGAATTATTTATATTGGATGGTTCTGACAGATTCATATTTTCATATAGAATCTTATCAGCAAAATAACAAATTTCAGTTCAATTTTGCTAAAAGATACTGAAAACTTTCATATTGAAGAAATTTTTGCTTGGATTTATGTTGAAACAATTTAAATTTCCATCTTTTCAATGGAGAACCAATAGAGATCCAATGTGAGTGTGTATGCGCATATAAGCCATATCATCACAGAAGTTTATATAATTAAAAACAAACACTTTCACAAAACTAGTATCAGTCATAAGAGTTTGCTTTGTAAATCAATTTCAGGTAATTTCATGTTTCTATACCTTTAGTAATTAATTGGGGTAAATATTAAAAAAGGACTTACTGAAATCCAAGCTTTTCTAATAAAGGGAATCCAAAATAGACAACAGATCACAATTTTGTTATTGGGCATCTCCACTGATATTATAATGAATACAATTTGGTAAAAGTTTTTTTTTTTATATATATTAAAAAACAGCTAAAAGAAAGATCAAAAGAAAGGCAGAAGCAGATTTTAAATTTTTAAGAAACATCTACATTTAGAGGAGAAAGCTATTCCTTATCTGAAAAGTAAGTAATAATTATTAAAATGACAGCACTATCATGTACAAAAAGAGCATTAAAAGAATTCAATGATGTTTTTAACACTATAAAGTTTGGATAGCGGCAATCATTTTTTTTTTTATCAAGACTGTAGGCATTTATATTATAGCTAAATGGTTGTAAACCATGGAGCTGAAAAACGAAACAATGCAAGGGATAAACTCACGTATTTTTGAACCAGGAGTACCGGGTGGTTTCATCTCTAGCTCAGCTTTGAATTTCTCCCTCATTTCCATTTCACGTAATTCTCTCTCCCGTAGCTCTCTTTCTCGAGCATCTCGCTCCCGTTTGTCTCGCTCCAATTCAAGCTCCAGCCTAAAGAAAGAAACAAAAAACAGATTCAAATATCTTAGTTGACAAACACATTATGAATTCAATTCTTTTGCTAACTGAATTTCTGTATTTAAAAATCACTGAAAGTTTATTTTTATAAATACGATTATTGGTTTTAACAGGATTTACTTGACTCTTAATGTGGTCAAGAGAGTAGAATAAAAATCAGCAAATAAGGTAACTGACTCCCCACTTCCTCAAAAGATGTTAAAGTACCTTGACCTTTTTTAAGTGTTGATCTAAATATATTTAAATTGTAAATTATTCAAAAAGATCAAACCATAACTATTGAGATTAGTAATAAATTCTTGTTAAAAAATTTGCATTAAAATTTGTGAAAAGTTAAAGAATGAATTCTGAAGCTTGCATTATAGCCAGCTAAGGCAAAGGGAAGTTGGATGTGTGACCAAAAAAGCCACTGGGTTTGGCAGCACTAACATGCACACAGCAGCAGCAACAACAGCAGCAACAGTGATGATTAAAAAAAAAAAAACACAGCCAGGTTCACACACAACCATTAGGTTAGTTCAAAAGTTCCCAATTTCCAAATAACCAGTGAAGTTATGATTCCACATGTATGATAAAACATTTTCCAGTATTAATCATAAGAAAAATCAAGATGTGATATTACTTGATACTTGAGTATTAGTTCAAGCTGATTAGCTTCATGAAAAGAGAGTGGAAAAGACAGGAATCACAGTTTATAATATTTTACTTGGAAATTAGAGCCAGTTTGAACCCACTTGAAAAAGCTGTTCCAGTCTGAGTGGGAAACGCTTGGCAGACATGGGGGAATATGCCAAGCCAGAAGCAAGAGCAGCAAATATAAGTAAATAAAACAAAAAGTCAATATTACAATTATTTATTGTAATAATGATAGTCTAAGTGTTATAGTAATAAAAACAGTGAATGAAAGAGCTGAAGGCTAGTCCACAAGGTAGTAAAGGCTCCAGAGGTGAAATGGTATTCATAAGTACTGGAGTCAACACTCAACTGATACTTTTTGCTAGAGTTGTGTAAGCCAAATGGGTTAAAACAAATATCTAAGGCATAGTTACCTTGAGGCATATAACCTTGCTTCCACACTACAAAAAGGTGGAAAAATAAAATAATTTAAAAATAGAATAGTAGAATAACAGTGCTTACACTGCTACTGGAGTGATTATTAGTGTCTAATTTATTCTAACATTTATTCAGAATAAGAGCCTGATTGAACTTTTTCTTAATGTTATTTTTGATAATGTAAGCACAAAGGTCAGTTATTTTGAAACTGGCTTCATGATTCAGAGTTTAAGAGAAAATGGCAAAATAGAACAGTCACATAATTAATAAAGAATGAAAATTTGAATAGATACTTAAAACAGCCTCTTTCATGAATATTTTTTGCCTGAATTTTAAACATGACATAATATTTGTTTTTTAATTTTCTAGCTTATAAAAAAGTTTTCAGGTCTGCATTGCTGCAAGATTTATTCTGGTATCCGATCGCTCATACACTCACTCATACTCTACCTCTTACAAAAGCAAAAGGTCACATATGCATCTAACAATTTAAAAAACAAAAACAAACACAAAACATACCTTTCTCGAGACCCACTTGGATATACTGATGCTAATCTATAATGTAGCATTGGATCCATATGTGGAGGCAGGGCAGATAATCCGTATGGTCCAGATCTTGCAAAATCTTGACCTGGCAAAAAAGAAATTTTTGTCATATAACATGCAGGATCAAAAGACATCATGAAACAAATCTTAAAATAAGACAACATTCAGTCAATACTAAAGACATTTCAATATTGATTAAAGGGGAAAACAAAATTTTAAGCAAAGAATATATCATTTGGTAATGTCAAGCTCCCTCAAAAAATTTTTTTCCTCACCAGAAAATTGATGATCAAATAATTAATTACGAAGACACTATCTTTAACTGGTCTACACATGTCACATTTATTATCCCAAACATTTTGAGATTGTAATATTTTTGTTTTCACTGGTGAACATTTGATTGGAGAAATATTACTAGAATGTTATCAAAAACACAAATGCTTCCAAAAATGAATTTATGAATTTTTCACCTAACGTATGTGGTCGAGCATATTCGCTGAGCTGTCTCAATGCTGGAGTGTCATGGCTTGGATATGGACGCGGAGTCATCCTTTCATTGCCATAAGGACCATGCTGAGATGATAGAGTACTGGTAACTTGTGCCTCAGATGAGCTTGACTTGACTGGCGTATCAATTCGTTTTTGCTATTAAAAAAAAAAAAGAAAAAAGAAAAAAGTGAATGATTTATTCAAATAACTCCATGAAAAATAACATCAATTTGATAATAAACATTTGAACAAATCATATCCATAGTTAGATTTATTTTTCTGTAGGAAATTTTATACTAAAGAGATTCTTTGCTAAACTGGTTTAATTTAAAGTAAATTGTTCAACAAGAGATTTCATGGCAGGAATTGTCATTAGAAGTTTCCAGATCTACCCACTTACCGGCTGAATTTTTTCTTCTTTAACAGCAGCAGACGTTTGTAAAACTTTCTTCTCCCTTTCTTCCCGTTTCTTTGCAAGTTCAGAATGTGGTTGGGGTTTAAAAACTAGATCACAGCGGGAACAGGAATTAATTCCTCGATTCAACAGTTTAATAAATCTGAAAGAAAATAAATAATGATTCATAGCAAATACAAAAGTCAGAGGATAATAGTTCTAAAACTTTTAATCACCAGGATTTTAATTATAATTTAATTTTAAACCAAAAATTAAGATTAAAAATCAATTATTTTGTTTCACATTTACAATGAAAAAATTATATATAAGAAAGATGTTAAATGATTTATAAATGGAATTAGAAAAAGCTGATTACATAAGAAATGTTTACTTTTTAGATTGTTGCTTTAAAAAATTAAATGGCTAAAATTACAAGAATTTTATGTAATCCTGTACAAATAAAACAAAATAAAAAGTTGATTTATATTTGAACCTCAAACTGCAATGCTCTTGCCTCAAGTATCAGTTAAATGGCTTTATATATAAACAATTAGTGGTAATAAATTCAACTAAGTTGAGAAAGAAGTTATTTAACTTTTCCACCTTTGTAGAAGCAAGGTTAATAACAGAAAGTATTAAAAGTTTTATATCATTTAGAATATAAAATCTTTATACTGTTATAAGTAAACTCAAAAGAATAAGTCTAGTCTCAAAAAAATCTTTCTTGCAAAATAAAATGTGACTTGGGAAACTGGATGAAATGAAATTATAATTTGTGTTATAAGTTGTTAACAAAAAGACCAAATGAAACATTGCAGATTTTTACAAACAATTTTCTCTCCTCACCAGAGTTTAAACTGTGGTAAGGAGAGAGAAAATTATTTTATATTTTTAATTTCAAACACAATAACAAAACACGTGTTTTTTTTTTAAAAATCCAGTGGTTGTGCAAGCAACTCCAATTTATATATATATATATATATATATATATATATATATATATATATATATATTTTAACTTTGCATAATTTCTGATAAGCAATATTAGTCTGTCAACTATGAAAGTATGGAGAAAACAAAATGAAAAAAAGTTGCAAATATTAATGATATAATATTTTTGAAATGAAGATTTCAAAATTGTTCAGTCTTATAACAGAAAATTTGGAATTAATTGATTTTGTTTTCTAGAGTGCACAAGTTGCCATTCTTTCAGATCATTACATAAAATACAAGTGTTAAAAAATTCATAAATATATTTGAAAATTCATGAGATTAATTTCAAAATATATAAATCCTGTTGTTACTGAAATATAGTTCTACTCTGCATAGTGTCAAACATGACTCGTTTTACCAGAAAAGACTTATTTAAAATATCTCTTTATTATGGTTAACAATGACTGAGAAAGCATTAAAATTGCTTTGAAGCATATTTCACATTTTTAAGAAATCCTAAAATTTAATAAACTGAAAAAAATCCCTTATTGAATTATTTATCATATAATCAACATTTTAGTAAAATAAATTACAAGTCACTGTAACCCATTAATGCCCAGTATTGAATCTAATATTTATTATAAAAATTATAATAATAATAAAAAAAAGACAACAACTCCAGTATTATAGGTTTATTAATGCCCACCCCAGTCAATCCTTATGAATGAAAAAAATTAAAGAAAATTTGATATAAAACTATTTTTCAATATAGTATCTGGTTAGGATTTTCTTTATTGGTGAAGCAAAAAATTAATTTTTTTTATAGCAACAAAAAAAAAAAAAACTATTCAAAAATCATCTAAATTTTTTAAAAAGTATTTAAAATAATTTTCATCTGATTAAGTAAAGGTTGAGAAACAGTTGAGTTTAAATTCAATGTTTAATAACATTTTTAAATTAAAAACAATTATTGTCCCTGAAAATGTGAGTAGCATTACAGAATTTGTTTCTCTCTCTTTCAGATCTCCTGTGATTATTTCCATTTATTTTCTAGCAATAGAAAAACTCTTCAAGCAAAAATGTCAGGACATGAGTTTTAAAAGTTTAAGCCAAATTCTATATTCGATATTAATCAAGAAATCAAGATCATCTCTGCTTATATTTCCTAATATCAACAAACAACACAATAGTCAAAGTCATTTGTACAAAAAACAAAAATTAGAGCATGACACTTACATCGCATTTTTGCTTTTATGGAATTCTTTATTGCATGGTGTAGGATCTGGTTCTGGACTAGGTGGCCTCTGGCACTCATCATCATTGCTATCTGAATCCCTTTCATATTGAGAGTCCTTAGGGGTCTCAGTCCCCAAAGGGTGAGAATGAGGCAGCGGAGGTGGAGGTGGAGGAGGTGGAAGTGGTACAGAGGTAACCAAATCCTTACTGTCCAAACATTTATTGGTCAACTCAGGGGCCAATCCTTGAGCTGTTGCTTTGGGAGATGGAGGAGTTGGCTTGAGCTGGTATTCCTCAGGTTCTTTTTTAATTTCCACACTGCCAGCAGTAGTTGAAGAATGAGTCTGAGAAAGAGGTGGCATGCACTGCTGCAAGGGTGGAGGTGCTGAATGGGGAGGTAAAGACTGATGATGCTTTTGGGACAATGCTGGATGATGTGACTGTGAATGTGGGCCCAAAGAGTGTGGGTGGTGCGGAGGAGGTGGTGGGCCTTGTGGTGGACCCTGAGAGGAGTGCTGGTGATGATGAGAAGGAGGAGGAGGCAGTGGAGGAGGAGTTGATTGATGGTGACGAGATGATGAGTGGTGTGGAGGATGCTGTGGAGGTGGTGGTGGCTGATTGGGCCCTTGTGACAATTGTGATGGGGGCATCTGCATCGACAGGGATGACTGTTGATGCAAAGATTGGTGCACTGGCATGTGATGAGGAGGAGGTGGGGGTGGTAGAGATGATGGTGGAGGTGGTGGTGGTGGTGGTTGTTGTTGCTGCTGATTCTGTTGTGAGTGTTGCTGCTGTTGTTGTTGTTGTTGTTGCTGCTGCTGTTGTTGTTGTGTCGAGTGCACAGAAGCTGCAGTCTGTTGTGAATGTGGTGATGAGTGTGCCATGTGGCCTGATGATGGAGGCCCTTGTGATGAAAGAGGCGGTTGATGCTGCAATGGATGAGGAAACGGGTAACGGTCCATGTGTGAATATTCCCATCGCTGTGTTGGCGGTTCTGGTCCGGGCACAGGAGAGTGCACCTCTTGCTTGATTTGCAAGGGAGGTGGCGGCAGAGAATGGGAATGAAGAGTTGGGTGCTGAAGGGCACTAGGCATGTGGCCTGAACTTCCACTTGATGGTGGAAGATGGTGATGCTGTGACAAATGAGGCCATGGGGGTGGTGGAGGAGGTGGAGTGTTTTCAACAATGTCCCTTGGCTCCTGTTTAATTTCCACCAGAGGTTGCTCTGACAATGCTGGTTTTCTCTGAGAAGTAAACTCCTCTTCTTCCTGCAAGGCTGGTGCAGGATGTGTACTTTGTACTGCTGAAACTGGGGGCACAGGTGGTTGTGGCTGTTGGGGTAACTGCGTCTGGGATTGCAGAGGTGATGATGGCTGTTGTTGCTGGGGTGGTGGTGGCGGTAGTGGGGGAGGCTGTTGTGAAGGTGACGGGGCTTGTTGTGTGATTGAAGATGGGGGTGTTGCCACTGTTGGTGGTGGAGGAATTGGGCACTCAGTAGGCACTGTCTGGGCATCCCCCCGGGGGCTATCAGAAGATGGAGGAGCTGGAAGTGTTGCCGCTAGCTGAGATGCTAGTTGAGGTTTGCACACCAAAGTATCTGCCGGACTTGGAGTACTTGGTGGTGAATTGGAACTCAAATCATCCTGGGAAAGAATAAAAGAAAAATAACAATAAGGCAATGGTCAAACAAATATGGCTTTGCATTTATTAATGGACATCAATAAACAGATGAGATTTTATCTTAGTCTTTTAAACAAGGAGTAGAAATATTGCAATATCACTTACCTGATTATTTTCAATATCTCCTTCATTGCCGTTCTCTTCATTTCCAGATATACTGCTGCTATCAGACACAGATTCTGAATCTGACGGATCCTAAAACAAATCAACATATATTGTTTAAAAGTCAGTTTTACCAAATACTAAATTTATTGATTGAACAAAAATCACTTATTTTTAGTTACCATCAAAGTTAAACATTAAAAAAAAAAAAAAGTTTAGATTTAGAAAAAGAAAAGGTTTACAAAAAGGTAAGGAATAGTTTTAGTTAAAAATTAAAATGAATGATAATTTTCTTCACTTTTTTTTTTTTTTTTATGAACTTTTTAGGTACAAAAGAAATTTCAGGCATTTAGTCAAAACTCTTAAATAACAAACAATGGTGACATACCTGAGACTTCTTTTTCTTGGAAAATTTGTCTGCTTCTAAATGATGCTGTCTCTTCCGACTCTTGACTGGACTATCAGAAGTGCCCTTCTGAAAAATTGAAGATAAAAATACATAAATTTGGCAAGGTTTTGAAAAAAAAATAAAACAACTTCCTTGCTAGGATGGAGTGTAAAATTTCACTTTTAAAATTATTTTCTTGAGAGAATTTTTCAAAGCTTTTTTTTTCTTCTTAAGTGACGTCCCTGATGCAACCAATATTGTCATACTAAATGGACATTAGTTTCATAAACAAAGAAATGCATGGATTTATCTGAGTAATTACATCACTTATCTCCCTTTTAGACTACTAAAAGCAAACTCTAAATAACTGATAAGCAAACTCTAAATAACTGAATTTTTTTTTTGTCAATGAAAGTTGTGCAACTTACCCTAAGTCTAGTAGCAGTGGTTGTGGTTGCTTTCTTGTCACGATCAGTGCTGCTGTTACTACAGGTGCTCACTGTGCTAGGTGACTTTCGACCAGTGATTTTTTGTGAGCTGGAGGAGCTGTTGAGAGGACTATCTATATTATCAGGACTACTCGTACTTTGACGATCCTTCTTTTTGCTTTTACCAGCCTGAAAGTTAGACAAAAAGCACAAAATAATACAGCTGATCATCTTTACATCAATTTCATTTTTATATCAATTGTTGATAAGAAAACAAAAAGGTGAAAATATACTGATTTAAACTAATTTATAAAAAAACAAGTTTTCAACAAATTCCTTAAGTATCAACAAAAAAAAAGAAAAAAAAAAGAAAAGTTAATGATGCAATTTGTATTACTATGATTATGAAAGATTTTTATACATAATAAAAACTGAGTGACTATAAAAATGGCAAAAGAAAGTTTTTTAAGGAGTCTGACAAACAATAATTGGGAATGTTCTAATTTCAATTTCCTTTTTTCATCACAACTAATATAGATATCACACTGTTTTTCCAGATGATAAAGTATGTTGCTTGTTTTAAATAAAAGCCTATCAAAGTTTAAGAAAAGTCAGCCACTTTCTAAATATGTAGGAAAATGGTAAGAATGAAATTTGGAAGGATATCATTGAGAAAAATTAAGAACCAACATAAAGGTATGATTTTATTTTTAAAAAAATGATTTTGGATGACATTTTTAAATTGTCAGTTAGAAAAGAATATGGCATTTATTTCTGGCATTTGACCGGCCAACATCTGTAAAATCAAAGTACAAAACAGATGTTAAAAACAATCCTCGATCAGGAGACTGCTTGTTAACCACATAAACATAAGGTGGCCGGGTGACACTTGTCTTCATAGAAAACAGGATATGCTTCAATTTAGAACACTGACAGCAAAGCAAAACAATAATAGGTTTGTCTGTGGGGAGGTTCCATGAATGCTATTTAATTACTACTGTTACTCCACATGAGAATCATATTACAGTCTACAGTCTTAAAGTGACATCCAACAAGCTAATCAAACAGAATGAGTCACCAGAAACTGTTAAAGAAAACAATGTTATTCAACATGTCAGTAGGAAAAGACAAGAAAAAAAAAAAGAAAAAAGACATCTAATCGCTTTATCAGCCTTGAACAGTTAATTTAAATATGCTAAATGGCAAAAGAAGAAAAAAAGTCATTTATTTCATTGTTTTTGTAATGATTTGAAAATATTTATTAGTTCTTGTAAGTATAACTTTAATGATAAGTCATAATGTTAGTTTTAGAACTTTTGCAATGTATATACTTGCATGTTTGTATTTAAAAAAAAAAAAAAAAACATCATGTAATCTTTTACTAAAATTTTACACATATTAAAAGAGAAGTAAAAGATGTAACACCTATATTTATATTTGCTCCTTCAAAAATCCCTATGTGTACAGAGGCAAGTTACATATGTGGGGAGTAAGTCCAAAATCTTTTTGCGAGGAGGAAGAAGCAATAAGTAAACTGATAACGTTTAACACAGGTCAAGTACAGGTAAAATGCCAGAATTTCTAATGTTGACTTTCAAAGCAGGCAGAAAAGCACACCCAACTTGAAAGATTGATGTAAAAACTTTCTAATTTACATTTCTCCAATTTGGCACAGTGAGTAAACTTATTAAAACAAGAGAACATTACAATATGTATGAAATAAGTTATATTTAAGGTAAATTTCTTTTTAGATAGACTTTGTATTAATTTCAATAAGTTTTTCAACAATCAAATTTATAAAGGTTTATCTCCTATGCAAATTTTTCAGGTAGCTTTTAAAATGATAACAAGCATAAATAGTATATAACAAAGAAAAATTTGTAAAGAATAAATAGGAAAGAAAGTCTTTCATTCTTACAGATTCTCTGCTACGCCTAGTTCGCATGTTGTGTTTGCCGTTGATTGCTTCGTCCTCTTGGACTGGCTTAAAGAGAAACGGTGGGGGATCCCGAGGACTGTCCACTACCGGCCTGTCTTCCCCATACTTCTTGAAGAACAAGCGGCATTCCGTGCATAGGAGGGCTTTATCCTTGCCTGCATGGTGCCAGTCCTTAGACGCTAGAAGGTGGAGGTGGAAAAAACAAATATAATAATAGTAACAACAACAACAACAACTATTATTTACAAAGAAACCAGTTTTTCCTTGAGAGAGAGAGAGAGAGAGAAGGAAAAAATATCCCAGTAAAATTATTCAAAGAATGTCTAATCGCTTAGTTATCTGGCTTGCTTAAATTTTCACAAAAGAACTGTAGACAAGTAGATAAAACATTTTAAAAACCTGTTCATTTTTAATTGTATTTTCTAAGAGGGATAATATATATACTGAAAATAATATTCTAAAACAAAATAACAGCAAAACTGGAATGAATTGTGAAGACATCAGAAGTATTTTAATCATAATTAGCATTTTAAACATAATATTCTTTAATTTTTCATTGTACTGAAGAAAGTTCTGTTCATTCAGCCATTTAATAAATTCAAACAATGATGTTAGAAAAACAATAACATAAATAGAAATAATTTAGAATTAGATGTAAACTGGAAGTCGGCTTTTAAGAGTTAATCAACTAAATTACATTATGAGGAAATGGGTAGGTGCTGAAAAGTCCTTGGCCCAGCTCATTTCCTAAAATCTGACCAAACCTTTTTTTGCTTTTAAAACTCCTTCTTGACTAAGTTGAGAACTTTTCAGCTTTCCCTTATATTATGCAACTCACTTTTTACCCAAGAAACTGAAGGAAATAAGTTGTCTTTTTGGTTTCCTTATAATAATGATAAAAGTAATTTATACTTACTAGTAGTGAAGCAATGCCTACATGAGTAACCACTCAAGTCGCGTCCTTCACTGTCCTCAGAGTCATTGTCAGAAATTTCACTTGCAGAACTCAGATCTGAATAAAAAAAAAGTATAGATTTTTCTTTTTACAGTTAAAACATTGCAATTTTCATTAGATAATGCATATTTAATTTTTTTTTTCTCTTGTAGGTCACTAATTATCAAGAGATTATGAACATTTACAGGAATTGAACTAAAAAGAAATCAACGTACAAAACTCGCTGGATGGTGGGCGCTGTGATCGAGTTGTTTGTCTCTTTAAACCACTTTGTCTACGATTGCGCCGATGTGGCCGAGCCGTAATACCTGCTGGAGTTTTCTTCCAAAAATAGTAATACTCCACCAGTTCACCCTAAAAGAAAAAGAAATTTAGCTTGTTAATAAAAATGATAGAAAAAAGAAAAGGAAGAAGAAGAACCAAAAATGTTTCCATACAATTATGCAAATAAATTTTAAAAAATTTATGTATTTATTTTATTTTATTAATTTCTTGTTAACAAGACTTTCAATTCTTTTTGCATTAAAATTGAATCATGTGCTAAAATCTATTAGAGTAATTCTACTTGAAGTGAGATAAAATGAGAAAATATTTGCTTTGGGGATTCATATGACATTACAAACAAAAGTAAAACAACATTGCCATTAGATCAGGGCTCGAAATTAAAGTCATCTCAAGAAAAAGAGAACATTACTTTGGGATGATTGATTAGGGATTTTTTTTTTGAAAGATACAAAATTTTTAATTAAAATTTTATTACATTTGCTAATTTCTTACATCTTACCAATAGTGTCAGGCTTTTAATAAATGGCATGTGTAAACACACAAATAAACAGAACTTAAGTACTTATTTTTAAACTGGTGAATGAAACACAAGAAAAATGACAGTTAAAGGACTTAAATTTAGTTATTTGTATTAATCTCTAAATGTGGGGGAAAAAAAGATGAGGATTTAATTGTAAGAACTACTAAACAAAACATGAAAATTATATTTTTTCTGTCATTTAAAAAAAAAAAAAAAAATTATTTGAATAAATGCATGAAAATTAGATGTCCGTAAAAAATTATTCAAGCTGGCTTAACTAAAATGTTTAAATAAAAAAGTTGATATTTTTATAAAAATTATAATAAAATTTAAATTTGTTTTTGTATTTATACATTTAAATGTTTTTTAATATTTTAGCTTTTTAATTTATTTTGTAAACCTTTTAATGGTGATCGTATGCTAATAACTATAAATGGTAATTTAAAAAAAAAAAAAAAAAAAAATTTGATTTTAAAAGAGTTTCAGGATGGTTCCATGACAATAGTGAAAAACGTTAGTCTGGAGCATTACATTAGATACAAATAGGTTTCAGATAAAATGCAAGCCCACTTACCTATGTAAATATATTCTAAATAAACTGCTATTTGAATTTTACAAAAGATTTTGTTTTGAGCTTCATTTCTGTATTTTATTATAATAAAAAATAAAAATGGGTTATTGTTATATACAACATTTGTAAAGAGACCGATGTAATTATTACAAGTTGAATTTTTTTTCCCTTGTTAGGTATAGATTATAACTATTTGGAACTAGATAAAAGTAGTAATGTGTACTGTAGGAAACTTGGCTAAGAGTTAAAGTAAAAAAAAAAAAAATCAATTATAAAGACACACAAATTCACACACACAACCCCCCGTCAAAAAAAAAACAAACAATGAATTGCTTTAATGAAATTATAGGAATTCAATGTTAACTGATATAACAAATTAGTTTTTACAGTTTTACATTGAAATTTCTACATATAATCTATATAAGGAAATAGATTAAAAACAAACAAAAAAGTGTATATATATTACAATGACAACAAAATTAAAATAGTTTTAATATAAATGAGTAAGTCCTTAACAGATGAAAAATATTGAAAGAAAGAAAACAACATATTCTACCAGGTATAAGTCTAGATAATAAATGACAGCTGTTATACAATTTGTAAAAATCATCTGAGTAAGAAACATTTGTATATGTGCAAATATTCAATGTTACTTTATTAGTTTTTGAGAATTAAGGAAACTATTCTTACTAGAGACCATTATACAATCCATAAGTCTTTGTGTACAATTAACCACTTGAGAATATGAACCAATGAATTATTCACAAAAACGTACACAACTGTTTGCCTTGACTAAAACTATAGACTATTAGTAGGCTAGCATGTTACAAGTGCCTTATAAATATTAACTAATTATGTTTGTGACTGCTACAAGGTGTTCCATTTGTAACAATAGACACTAAAACAACACAAATGCCATAAGTCGGTCACATTAACATAACTTCCCACAGCTGCTAAGAAACAGGGAACAAGAAGTCTATGACAGAAGTCGTATTACTGGGTACCTCACAATCGTCATTTAATGAGGCAGTAGAACAGCCAATATTTTAATACAAAGAGCCTCTTTATATTTACAGAAATAACCTACCTGATATTTCCAGGTGTCTTCTGGATTAAGAAACTCAACAAAATTACAAAAATATCTACTTCATGACATTATTTCTTGCAGCAGAATGTGTGAAAACATAAATCTCTGAGAGGCAAAGATGAAGAGAATCACAGAATTCATCACAGCACAACAATTAGTTTCTGGTGATAACAAAAAAAATAGCACTTTGACTTTAACAAATAGATAATTTGTATCAAAATATTACATTTTAAAAAGGACAATGAGAGGTTAAATAAATATAGCGGTAACAGATAATGGCAATTTTAAAAATCCAAATTAATGCTAAGAATGTATGACCTTTGACATATTTATCACAAAATGTAAACATATTCTGCAATGAATGTGAAAAAGGCAGGTTTGAAATCATAACAAAATGCAGAATGTGTGTCCTTATTTTAACAAGGTATGATCATAAACTAGCAATAATTTGTTGTCAATGCTAAATACTGGCTTATAGAAAGGCTTCATCTTTTCATATAGGCTAAAGGACAACTTATGAAAAAATGTATTCCCTGTAGACCATCAGATATGCTAATTATGAAGATTAACTGAATCAATTTATAAAGTTTTTGAGAAACAATATAACAAGGGGCTTGGTAAATTTCAAAATGTCAGCAGACATTTAAAAGTCATTAAAATTATCAAGAACATTTTAATGTAACCAAATAAAACACTGCAAATTAGGATTCAGCAGGAAGTGCAAGGGAGGTGGGGACCTTCATAGCTGGTCATTATTGAATCTCAAAAAGTGATAGAGGTTATTACATTTGAGCATTCTATGAAGTGTAAAACCAAATTACTAGGCTTTGAACAGTTCCCCAAATGGAGGGGTGCACAGTGTCAGCTAATTACAGACTATCTCTATGGGCTACGATTACTTGCCAACAGATTGTCTCTTGCAAAACATAATGAAACACAATGGGAATAACTACTCACTTCTTGGGATTAACCAAGAAGAACCATTTCAGTTACAAGAAAATGGGACAGAGAGAGAAAGAGAGAGTGATGTAATAATAAAGAATTCAATAGAAACAGAAGAGCCAAGAAATGGGCAACTGATTTGAATTCCAACCACATTTTTTAACTTATGAAGAAAATTTTTGGAGGTGAGGGTAAATTAATGCAACCAATATACACAAAGAAAAGGAAAAAGTGATTGCATAATAGAAACCTGATCAAATGGTCTAATGGCATTTAAATTCATCAAGAAAGTGTAAATGTATTATTAGGAATTCCTTTTCAACCAATAACTAATTTTTTTTATAACTGGAAATACTCTATTTCTTTTACCTAAAAATATAAAAGGCATATATCCACAGAGAGATTAAATCCTAAGCTGATGAAGAAAACCTTAACTGCTGGCAGTTTTAAATTATTAACTGACTGAACAAAATGCACTGCTTCATGCCTGTTATTGCATATTTAGCAATCCTAATCAGATTATAGAGATTAGCTTAAGGAGCCCATTACGAGTTTTTGTTGCTGCTCAATCAATTTGGCCAACTTGCAGCAATAATGATGAGAGCAGATTCTTTTTGCCAATGGATCATAAAAAAAAAAAAAAAAAAAAAATCACTACCATCTGCATAGCTGAACAGTAAATAGAAGATAGAAGGAAAAATTGTGCACTACATTTTATCAATCAAGGAGTCAATAATATAACACAGCACATGCAGAAAATATTTTGTTGAGAAAAATAGACAATATGACTTTGAAGTATGGAAAATAGATACAAACATTTACTGAACCTGTTTCTTTTTTGATGTACCTTAAAAACGATTATATGCTTCTTTTTACCTAAGCCAATAAAAAGAATGCTGCAAATTATACCTAATGAATATTCTATAGTTTTTATTTTTAAAAATTAAATTAAAAATGTAAATAAATGTTAAAATTTAAATTACAAACAAGAAAATGAATTATTTTGTTAACTGGAGAGGTTCACATGTTGACTAAGGAAATTTGTTTCTCACTGACATTAAAATGGATGACAATAGTCACAAATACTGTACATTTTAATTAAAGCACATTATTTAGTAAATATTTCAACGGGTTAGTTTTTCTAATTTAAGCATTAACACAAAAATGCTGCTACATTCAACAAAATTATTACAGGCCTAAAATGAGAAATAAAATAAAAATTAAGATAAAAAAACTGGAAATTTATAAATATTATATAATATAAAACTTATCATCATAGTAATATGATGATAAATTATAACGCCACAATAGATATCCAAATAAGCCTATTTAGAAAATGTTTAAAACTTAATATATATCAATATAACAGAGTTGTATATTTATTTCTAACTACTGAAAAAACAAACAAAACAAATAAGGTGTATTTCCTTTGAGAGAGATCTCCAATTAATTTAAACTTAATTCAGGCACATAGAAAAAAAACCTTTATAAAATATTTAATTTTGTTTGTCTTAAAATTCAAGTCAATGACATTTCAAATTTAAATTACACACTGAGTAATTCTTATTTTCTGATAACCATTGCTAAACAGTTTTTCAAAGAAAGACAAAGATTTCATATTAATTATTTAATAATAAAATGATATAGATGTATTTGGATAAGGAAAGAAAGGTTACTCGCAGTCAGCAGTGGGAAAGAGATTTCTGTTGGCAAAGGTCACACACAGATTTGGATTTCACACCCACCATATATTGGAAAATATTAACAGGTGTTGATAACTCCTCTCAGAATTTCTTACTTCTAGACATTATGAGCCTCAGTTTAATGTCTCGGAGTTTTAAAATAAATAGAAAAGAATTAAATAGACAATTCCATATAGAATAATTTAGTAGTATATTTGAAAGAGTAGCTTTAATAATTAGGAAATTGAAAGTAATATTAAATAATCT